AACACATAACTTTTTTCTTATAGACTGAGTATGTGAATTGCCCTATTCCTGTTTTAGTTCTATGTACACTTGAGAAAAATACTGAGAAATGAAACATTCTAAGTTGTATTTCTTTGATTGTTGAAGAGGGCAGGAAAAACTCTCATGTTTTTCCTGGAATTGTGTATTAAGGTTACCACTATGCAACAGCAACCATATATTAAAAAACCTGATAACATATGAAAGGAATTCACATTTCAGTTTTGTATATCTTTGGGAATATTAATGAGTAATCTGCATTACTATTAAATATATTAAACAATATTTCTCAAGTTAAGCTCATTTTCTTGCCATCTTCTATGCTACCTGCTAGCCTGCTGCTCTACTAAAATAAAATGCTTCCCAAAAATCAGATGGAATATTAACAGCTTCCTTCTCTTGGATGCATCTGGAGTGTTTGGCAATTATTATGATGCTAACGTAGACTGACAACATGCAAAATAATTGTTTTTTTTTCATAAATACAAAGCATCTTTATGTAAGAGAGCTCGACAGCAGCAAAACTGCTGTGTAAGATCAAACCATTTCCAGGACTGTCGGAACATTCTTGATAGTAACATACAAAATAAACTCTTATTTTTTATTTGTAAGGCGCTTTGAGATCTTTTAACAAAAGCCATAAAAATGTACTGGTATATTAAGTATTTTTCACCGACCTTAGTAAGAACTTCTAATAAGAGCATTACTTTACAGATAAAGAAACTAAAGTAGAGAGAGAATACTGGATTTGTTTCTGATCACAATACATCAGTGTCATACCAAGGTCAGAACTGAGTACAGACTCCAACTGTTCAACAGGAATCACCAGATCACTAGCAGGACTCTTCCTTTCTTCCTAGAAATCTATCATGTACAAAAATCCTGTAGCAGAAACACCATTTTGCAAAGCAATGTGACAGGAAATATGACTGTCCAAGAGCCAAAGGCTCAGAAAAGTCCTAAAAAAAGTGCAACTATGAGAAGTAAAGGTGGTTAAGTGATGTCTACAAAGAGCAATTGAGATTGAAAAAAGGAGATTTTGACTATAGCTTCTGTAATCTAGAAAAATCTCAGTTTTACCTTTGATCTCTCAGTCACTGAAAACAATATGCATCAATTTTTTTTTTTAAATTGACTACTGTCTCATTCTCAAGAGCATCCATTTTGTTAATGAGAAAAAATACATAGTGCATGGGCTTTATCATAGGCCCAGAAAAATTCTGGGCATTTAGTCAGAAGCTCAGCACACCTAAGTCAAAGCAAGCTCTCTTAATAAATCTGAAGACAAAGGCCTCTGACAACAGGAATTTTTTTTATAACCTCCCCAAGGTGGCTGACTAGCCAAAAGCTGTTTGAGGAGTTGCAGTAAGAGAATGATTCAGACATAGTATTACATAGTATTACATGACAGCACTTTATAGCACATGACCAGATAAAGAATTTAAAATGTAAAGAACTGTAAAAAATGGCATCATGCACTCAGGCCACCCTGAGTGCATTAATCTATTTCAAACAAAGGAAATACAAAAGTTAAGCCCTTCACTAACACAAACTCAGTGCTGGTACAGAGCTAGTATAGTCCCCCCTCCTCAGCTATTAAAACCTTGCCCTAAAATATTTATGTCCACTTTAGGTAAAGGATCATCTAAATTTTATAGATCCAGCTACAGTTAGCAATTTCTCAATCACACCATTTGGTTAGAAAACATCTCTGTGCCACCCATTTATGTTTGCTCCAACTGTTTTAATGACCTGAGTGGTTTTGACCCACCTCTCCCAAGTGCATTTGCTTAGGTACTTTAGTCATCTGTTGCACTAGCTCTTGTACTGCCTGCTGTCTTCTATTCATCTCTTTTCCTTCTTTTCCCCATAAAGTAAGCCTTACTCTGCTGCTCCAAGAAAGGAATGAGCCCTGCACAGTGACCCTATGGTAATGGCTACAACCTAAGAGTGGTGGCTGTTAACACTCCAACAGAACTTCCCTACTCAGTTCAGGAGGCTGCATAGGATCAAGAACCTGATCTTGGCCAGCATTTTGTTTTGGTTTTCAAGTTGGCCTTATCATAAACTCAAATTTACAGTAACAGAAATCAAAGGGGGGAAAATGTAATGTCTTCAAGGGCCCATAAAACATTGCAAACCCCTGGATTTCAGTGGCTATGGTCAGCTTATAGAACTATTCCCAGATCTAGACTGACATCATACATGATGCTGATAGACGAAAATGCTTGTTAATTAACTTCCACCAGAAACACCAGATAAAAAATGGAGGAAATGCAATTTCCTCAGAGATTAGTGTCAGATACTTAGAAATCAAGGGAACTCCTCTGTACCTAGTATTTTAGAACGGCCTAAGAAAAACTCGTTCTTTCCCTCCCAATTTCTTTTAATATCCTGAACTTTTTTTGAAGATAACTTAAAAAAACCCCACACACACTCCCAAAGCAGTATATTGACTCTTTACCAGTGACAGTATCACAGATCTACTTAATTCCATTTTTTCCAAACATTCTTTAAAATTGTTTTGAAACTTTTTCACATTATTGAAAATTTGTTCTTGAAGCTCCAAAGTATGTTCTTACAAAGCTATCTTCTTCTCTTATTAAATGGCACCGTACCTACATCATAAAATGGAACCTTCAGAAATTGAAGTGTCACACAAAAAAAACCCAATCCCCACCTGCCAAAACCTTCAAAAGTGCATTACTAGGGACAGTTTTCGCTATCATAAAGAAAAAAAAAAAAATTGCTAGAAATATAAAACGTCATCAGAAAAGATCAAGCAGATCTTATACTTAAAAGACTTCTCTAGACACATACACTGGAGTAACCAGTGACTGAACCAGAATTTAAATTCCATAAGAAACTTGCATCTTTTAGCATTTATTTTATAACAATCCAGGTAGAAGTCCTGAAGCATCAACATGTTTAGAGCTATATAAAACATTCAATACATAAACATACAAATATTTTGTTTACATACATCATATTTTGAAACAGAAAACTGTGGCATTCCATCTAAACATTTAAATTGATTTGACATTTAAGTACATCTGCTGTACAAAAATCCAGGCAAGCAATCCTACACTATGTGCTGTCCCCTGTAACCGTAACATACATCTCGTAAGATAACTCAGCTGTACAGATTCCACAGATTGGTCAGAAAGAAAACATTATGTACAGAGGAAATGTCCACAGAAAAACCTAATCCATAAGAATGCTGGGTTAGAAGACTTACAACCTGTGAGACCGAGGCATTCTAAAGACGCTTGTTGAATCAGCTAGAAATTACGTTTCTATTTTCTCACTAGAAAACAGCAAGAGAATCTCAATAGAGAAAACATGATGGAAGATTCCATGGTACTTCTACTGACACCAACAAATCCCTATTATGCTATAGTGGAAGAGCAACAGACCGTCAACAAGTCCTTTATATCAAAGTGCTGACAAAATGGCAATCTAAAACTCACAAAGGAAATAGAAAAATCTTATTCACTTTTCCAGATTGAATGATGCCCACAGAACTAACACACCCTTTTCTAAAAAATAAGCCAACCAAAAAAACTTAAAATATTCACCTTTTACAAGTCAAATGAAAAATAATTGTACTTCCAGTAAAATTGTTATCCTTTCATCCTTCCCTGCCCCCTCCATTAGAAAGGAAAAACAAAAAAATGCACTGGAAAGCTTAGTGAAGCTCACTAGAAGTTCTATGTTTCTATACGCTTCACATGGGAGAACTCAAAAGACTATAATGATTGCGGAGGTAGACTACCGTCAAATAGGTCACCAATAATTATAAAGTGTACCCAACCATATTAGAAAAACATCAAATAAATCATTCCCTTAGAACATAAGCAAGATCTACCTTCTTTCTTTAAAAACCAAGCTAGTACTTCAAACTATGTACTCAAATCACCTCCAATTCTCTAGGACCAATGAAAGAATAAAACAAAAGCTGAAAGCTGGCTGTTTCTCTTTGCTAACGGTACTTATATTAGTAAAATTATCAGAATTTGACATTAAAAAAATACCTTACAATTTGTTTAAGTGCCTAATTACTCCATAATGTATCTGCACACAAAAGATGGCATCAGGTAATGTCTTTAAAGAGATTCATCCCGATAAATTAGAGAACAGAGATTTATAATCCCTACATCACTTATTCACGTATTAATTTTGAAAACTCAAGTATCATTTATAATGAGTATGTTATTTAACAGTATATGGCAAGAAATTTACCAGACGTTGACATATTTAACACATCAGTGCAATATTTTGCAAATAACTATTTTCTCAAACATCTCAGTTTTTTAGGGTCTGTTTTTGTCTTCAGAATTATATTTTAATTATAAAGTTATGGAAAAAATATCATATTTCAGTTGTAGACCAAATGGCAGCTACCAAAAAAAGTTAAGTTCATGATGAAAATGGGACTTTTTTTTTCCTATTAACACTTGTTGCTTCTCTGAAAAACCAATGAGATGATGCTTACTACTATTTTACTGATTAATATCTACATTTAGCATAAATGCACATAACAGCTATTTTACAATCCCTAGTGATTTTCAGTCTCCAATAATACATTTCATCCTTTACAGTAAGCAACACACAATTATGTCCAACTCAAAAAAACTCGAATCAAATCCTCATGAATGCTCTTAAGCTTAAATTGACTTACACCCAAGATTTACTTTTGACATAAAAAAAGAAATATGGCTGTATCTTCCAGATGAAAAAGTATATTCTTTTTTTTTTTTCAAATGGAGACTTTCAATCACTTTAATACAGCTTAACTTAAGTCCCGGAAGCAACTACTAGGAGCAGGGCCAGTATCAGATAATGCTAAGCATCTAACTTGGTATTAATTAATGCCTAATATAAATATATATTCCACATGCCAAAGAAATGCAATTTCAAGTAGCTGCAGAAACAGAACAGGCTATGATAGAAAGAAAAAATGCCCTATACGATCTACTTACTAGCATGCTTATCTGCAAGCATTATAAGGCTGTTGGAAATATCTCTTCGCCTGTAAAAACACACCACTTTTGCTTCCACGTTTCCATTGGCAGTCTACAAGAGAAAGATAAATCAAGTCAGAATGTATCTTTCCTTAGCTGAGTAATACAAATTAAATGTCCTCTGCTTGCAATTTTCCCTCATGTTAGTAGTTCTCACATGGTCAGGCTGAAATCAACAGAATTACTCAAGTAAGTAAAAACTTCCTGACACAGGCCAATATCAATTTCAGATCAGACAACAGTATTGATAATAATTATTTAGTCCTAAGCATTTATATATTATTCAGCTGTTTAGAGATGTAATGCCAGTATTATGTTAACGTAAGAATCCTTAAGAAGTATTAGAAGCTTGTGAACATTTCTTTGCAACCTAGCTTTAGACAGAAATGTATACTTCAAAGTTCTCTAGCATTTTTTTGGAATCATATTTAATATAACATGGTTTATTTGAAAATTCACTTCAGCTTATAAGATAAAAGAGCTATTTAGTTCACAGTTGTTTTCATGGCTCATTACAGCGCTCATGCTCTTTAGCCTGATACTGTAAAGAATCTACTAATATTTGAAGAACTGTACCCTCTTTCTTGTTATGAAAAGTACAAAATTAGTTCATTACCTTGAGTTATTTATTTAAAACTCAATATGTGGCACTGAGAAGTATCATGTTTTAATTAAGTTTCTTACCAAAAAAAAAAAGGAAGCACCTTATCTCCAGTAAAATGATACCCAAAGCATTTCATGACATACATACATTTCATTTGCGTAACATCTCCATGTTTGCTCAATGCCTTTAACACATGAAAACACATAATTCACAATTAAGATATCTGGACTACAGCCTCGAAACTCTCTTTAAATAAAAATTTTAAAAAAGAAAATCAATACATGACTATGCTCTGCCATCCACGAGCAAGATTAAATTATGGCAATGCAGTTTAAAGATAATAAACATTACATTCAGAACACGACTGGAATCACTTCAATTACTGCAAACAAAAAGTATTCTTCTCCAATAGAAGTCCAAAATGGTTTGCCATGCACAAGTTCAGTGGATGTTGTGTTGGACAGCACTAACAGGTAATGTGGTTGATGTCTGCTATGGAGTAGTGTTATGTTCCATCAGTAAGAAGAAAACCATTTGCAGGTCACCAGTTTTTTAATTCCTTTTCTAACCACAGAAAAAAATAATCTTTATCATTATTTACATCACAACAGGCATTTTGATCATTAACTTTTGACATAATGTATCAGTAAGTTTTAATACTGCTTGACAGAATAGTAAAAATATGCCATGCTAAAAAAAAAAATAAAAAATTAAATCCCACACCATTCTTAGTAGTACAAGAATGAAGAAAAATAATCATGCCTTCCCTAAAATGACACTCTGAAAAGCCTCTATTCTTTATATAAATACACTCATAAAGACAGAGAATAGTCTCTATTTCTCTTCAAAAGCCCATCCTTCATTCACAGCTGCCAATAAGCAGAGCAATAAACAGCCACAGAAGTCACATACTCTGTTATTTGATCACTGCAAGGTCTCACTGATACCTACTAAGTCTTTACACATACATCCAAACGCAGACACATTACATGATTGCTATCATTCCAGATGGATTCACAGTGTCATGAACATACAGAGAATTAAATTCATTCATTTCCTCAAGCATTCATAAGATTCGTTTAGAAATTTTTACAGCAGAGTACTCCTGTTCACCAGGAATGATCAACTGGGCATTTCCTTAGATAACAGAGAATTACAGGATATCACATAGCAAGATTTCAGTAACTGAAACATGCACAAAATACATAGCAAATCTCAAGAAAGTAAAAAAAAAAAAAAAAAAAGCAAAACCCAAAAAACCCTCCAAAACCCAGAAAATTCTACCACAATAGAAATCTTATGGAATGGATATCATTATGTTTTTGAAGAGTGCACTGACTGTTGTCAAAGGTTAAGCAAGAATCTTAGATACTTGTGTACCTTGTTAAGTTCTTCAATTCTCCTAATGAGATATGGATTGCTGGAAGAATTTTCAAAATAAACATAATCTGCAATGGAAAAAGGAAAGATATTGAAATACCAGGAAAAAAATATATGTAAAAGCGTATCATTATTAGTGCAAAAATTTTCTTTTAAACCTAGAAGCTGTTAGAAAGCTGAGATTTCTTAGTAAATGTTAAGACAGTGAAGTATTTCTATACTGACTTTAACATAATTTGTTCCTACATTCTGGTTATAACTGCACTACACATGCTTTAATAATCATGCTGAAATAAAGTTCAATGCCTTGTGTTGGAGCTTACATTGTAATTCAGTAATCCACACACTTCATAAATCTTGATATAAAAGCGGCAGTTTCTCACAATCGATTAGGGAAGATTTAAGAATCTTTAGTGAGTTTCTTTATTATGGAGATAAATATTTCTGTAAGATATGCTACCTCACATTTATTATCTGGTGCTATGGTAGTACAGTTGTCCAAATGAGTAATGTACATTTTATGATACTTGCTTTTTTTTGTCATCTCTGTGTAGTAACACGCGAACTCTATTAAGCAGTAATAGCCATGAGATTAGCGAGGTTCTTCCAGGACAAAATCCCTTATAGTGTCATTAATATATTTTCATAGAGTATATGGAAGTTTACTCATATCCTGAAAGCTGCCCTCACGAAACATACGAAGAATTGACATGCAGTGCATTTCCTTCGATAGTTTTCTCAAAACTCGTTTCCCTCAAATGAAAAAGTACCCATCAAATGCTAACCACACTTTACATTTGCTATTTGACTTCTGCACCATGCACCTTGCAACCTTTATTTAAAAAAATGGGTGGGGTACCAGAACAATGTATACAGCTCCTCTGCAATGCTTTGACACTGCATTACGGTGAAATCGAGCCTCAGGTAGCTCATTTAGCTCTAAAGAAAGAATATGATCTCTGGATATCGTTCACAATTGCTTATTAAGAGTACAACAAAAAAACTGAGAATTGATGACCTAAGAAGCAACCCCTACCCAGATTTCAACAGCGCTACTCCGAGAAAGATTACTTTATGAGTAAAGGCTGACGGGATTACAATCTAAATGCCCTAACGAAGGAGTATACAGATGGATGATTTGTGGATCTATCAGCATATCTCAGAACAGAGGCAGAAAGAGATTCAAACTACTGTCACCCCTCGTTTCCTTGCATCTTCCCTCTCAGCTCAGGCTGCTGAAGAGACAGCAGAAGGAAACAAGCTATTTCTGAGCACCAAGCACTGAAAACCTAACTTGAGCGGTGCACCTGAGCCACAGCGCTAGGAACACAGCCATGTTCACTCCCAAAGGGAGGGCAGCGAAAAGTTATCGGTGTCTACTTCGACAGGCCGGGGGTGGCAAGAGAAACGCTTGCCGTGTTTTTTACCGCCCAAGTGCCCCCCCCTTTGCCCAGCGCCAAGCAGTCGCGTAGGAGCGCACTCCTCTGGGGTCACGTCGGTGAGCAGGAAAGCTGACAGAAATCCCCCGGTTACGCAGCCGGATTTATTATTTCTCCGCGGGAGGCGAAGGAAGGCGCGGAGAAACTCCGCCGCTAACGGGAAGGAGCGGAGGCCGGGATACGGCACGAGGGGAAGCGCCGCCGGGCGCCCCCCGGGGCGGGCGCCGGCTGCCCGCGCCACGCCG